TTTTATTTTGATCTGTTCTGTATTTCTCATTCATACCTGTAAACGCTGAATGACATGCGTGTCAGAAATATTCGTCTTGAATCAATTTTATGTCTCTATTATGTCAATGTATGCAATCGCTTCATTTTCGTATTTACTTTTATTTATAGGGATATATATATATATATAAGAGCTGCAGAGCAATTATATAGTATAGTATATTTACGCTAGGTATAAATATGAGTTAGCGGATTCTAATGATTGGGAGGGACATGCTCTCCAAAATTTTGAAAAATTAAAAAATTTCGAAATTAGAATAGTTATTATTTATATTTAACTGAAACTGCAAATTTAGGACATTTAAAAGTATCAGAAAAATATAATTTTGTACCTAAGTCCCATGCATGATTGGCTAAAATGGTCTGCACATTTTATCTATAAAAGTCCCTCTCTGTACACCTCTATTTTATTTTCTTGATCGTGGATTCAGTTCGTCTTAGACGTTACTGTCATCGCGTATATACATTGAAAATCCTCAATGTCCCGATCAGAACATGTGACACTTAAATCAATCTTCAGTTAAACTGTTTTTGTTCGTTTGTGTGTTTGTTTGTTTGTTTACGGTTTTGTTTTTGGGGTTTTTTTTAAACTTTTTTTCCTTTTACTTTTTTATCTCTCTTCTTTACTATTTGACTTTGGCTTATGGTGGATTTTTCAGTCCTGAATCCACTTATTACCAACACATGACGACAACTGCAGCTTAATGTGGCCTGAGCAGACCATAATGTAATTCTTATTACAACAATTTTCTTTACTTCTTTCGATCACGTCATAGTTCCTCCACTATGGGAGCATCATGATTAATAATAATTAGTGAATGTTTAATTCATGGAGGAATAATAGGAATAATTTTAACTTTACAAAAAATTTCCACGACTGTTTTGTTTTCTCCTGTTTCGCAGTACAAGTCGACCTGGAGGTCGTGGGTTCCCACCCGAATCACTTGCGAATATTTTCGCTAGTATTTGGGGACGTACTGAGTATTCAGCACGATGACACGTCAGGATGGGCAAAACATTACTTTAATAATGATAATATTATTATTATTAAGAACAGTATAAAGAGCAAAATTATACAAATCGAAAGAGTCAATGTAATTCATAATTCATTTCATTCAATTTGGCAATACGCAACAAATTAATAAAAAACATTACAAATACAAACAAAAAATTCAAATTGACGAAAGTATATAAGAATAATTAGGTGAGCCAGGGAGCAGTAAACTTAAAACACTGTCATCCTAGTGATGTGCTGCTTCCAGAAAAAAATGAAATGAATAATAATAATTTAAAAAAAAACAACAATGTAAATCAACTAAAATATCATTAAAATATTTGTGTTTAACTTAGTTTTTAACAAATGAAAATTAATAGATAGAATAATAATAATAATATATATAGGCATATATATATATATATA